GACTATTCAATGTACTAGGACCAAGAGGTCGACCAACCCTTGACGAAAGTTGAGTCCATTAATTCCCAACGGAATTCGAAGGCGTAATAAATATGAAGTTGTTGGGCCATGAAAGAGCCCAATTTGAGAAGGGAACCTGGAATTCAAATGTGAACCAGAATTCCTCGTATTCAAAGAAAGTTTTGGGCTCCACGTGTAATTAATGGCTATTTACTACATTCACGAGATGAGTAGTTTCTTTTGTAACACCCACAAGGCCACAACATTGAATTGACGAAGAATAATGCTCCTTGATTTGACAGGGTAGGGTGGCAGCACTTGACTAAGTGTCTTTTTTTTTTTTTTTTTCAAAAAATTAAAGGAAATAAAAAATATTTAGACATGTACCAGAAATGATTAACAATAATTAGTGTGTGCTCATGGGCTCCTTTTGTCACGTACCAATGCTTTCGACCAATTTTAGAATCCAACGTCTTGAATTGTACAAAAAATCAATGTTTTTATCGGCCGACCTTCAGTTGATTGTCATGGCAACTATGATTTGTGCTCCGTTTACCCTATTTTGTCTATTTAATCCCAGAATTAACCACATTTTTTTTCACCTTAAGATGCTAAATATTTAATAAAATCATTAGAATAACAAAAAGAAGGAAGATAAGCCTTGAAAAGAGTTTAATTTATTCCCTATCAAATATATGAAGTTGAAAGTTTACAAAAAGACGAACGATATGCCAGTGAGATACATAACTCAACTCCATCATCGATCTCTATTTAACTAATCTTTGTACTCCCAACATTATACAAAGAGCTCTATAAAATTTAGTGTGGTCTACGATCAAAATCGCAAGAACGTAAAATGGTAAGAATATGATCCTCATACACTCACATAAAAATTTCATTGTAATTTAACTCTTCTTTCAAAGTGTTGATTTTTTTAAATAATTTGGCATAAAGACCATCGTGGCCCACGACATGACCAAATGAGAGAATGCATTAAGCACGTGAAATTGTGTACTTCAGCAAGGAAAGAATCCAATTTTTTGCTTCGTTTTACAGAAAGAACTTGGAGAAAAGTAGACAGAATATTCCAAGCGCCACAAACCCCTAATAATGGCCATCCTGCGCTCTTTGGCAGTCCCCACATAATTATTCCTCATAAATTCATATTCAAGATTAGGAATAAATTAACGAATAAGGGTATTCAATATTAATTCTAGGTGATGGTAGTCCACCTGCCCTTAGGTCCAATTTGTTTTTAAAGGCAAAAAATATATTTTAATTGAAAATCATTTTGTTTCTTAATTGATAATAATCACAGCGAATGATGAATACTATTACCCTAAAATAAAATAAAATAAAA